TCCTCCAATTTTTTTATATTTTTTAGTACTCCTTGAAAGAGTTTTCTCAGTAAATTTTGAGATTTTTTTGATCACGGGTTCAAAAGATATCAAATTTTCAAAAAAACTGCTTTTTTTTGTTTTTCGCTCATAATTTCTAAAAAATGGTCCAAATCAAAATGTTCATTCTATATAAAATTTTCGTTTTTAAATGTACTTTTCGAAAAAAAATATATTGAAAATATTTGTTTTAAGTCAAGATTTTTGAGTTTTAAAGTTTAAATCGTGTTTTTAAAAATGTGTCTTCTTCGATTTTCGCGAAAATTTTTTATTTTCAACTTCTTTCTATTCAACAACTATTCAGCCTGGTCCGGTAGTGGGCCTTGCATAATTACTATTTTTTTTCGAAACTTATAATAATTTTTAGAGAATTTTTATTTTTAATTTTGAAATATCGAAAAAAAAATAGTAATTATGGAAGGCCCACTACCGGACCAATAGTTGTTAGAAATAAAAAAAATTCGCGAAAATCGAAGAAGACACACATTTTTAAAAACACGATTTAAACTTTAAAACTCAAAAATCTTGACTTAAAACGCTTAAAATATTTTCAATATATTTTTTTTCGAAAAGTACATTTAAAAACGAAAATTTTATATGGAATGAACATTTTGATTTGGACCATTTTTTAAAAAGTTATGAGCGAAAAAAACAAAAAAAAAGCAGTTTTTTTTTGAAAATTTGATCTTTTGAACCCGTGATCAAAAAAATCTCAAAATTTACTGAGAAAGCTCTTTCAAGAAGTAGGTACTAAAAAATATAAAAAAATTGGATGAATAAAAAAAATTTGGCGTGGAATTTCCCATATACTTCTGCACTATCGGACGAGCATCGTGGTAGGCAACCCAGATTACAAATCAATAATAGTGCGACCTCATTGGCTGCTTTTAATTTTGCGAATTCAAAAAAATGGTAAAGGAAAATTTGTCTTAAAATTTCTGGAGGATTTTACATTTACCCTTTGGGTCGCCAATTTTGGGACATATTAAAAATCTGAACTGTTTTTTTTACTAAACAATTTACCTCAAAACATAAATACTGTAATACTTATCATAATTTTAAGAAAATGTTTTAATTTCATTCTAATTTTCAGGAGTCGGCATTTTTTCGAGGTTGCGATAACACAAAACTTCAAACCGGATTAATTTTTTTCCCTGAAAGTATGCCTATTTAATAGTAATAATATACCCATTTAATAGTAATGGGTTTGTAAAAATTGGCTCGATTTTTTTCTGATATGGTTTTATAATGTTTTTGAGATTTAGTATTGATTAAGATGACTTAAAAGACTCAACGGTTTTAGGTTGACAAACCTCAAATTTCGCTTAAATATTAAATATTTTATAAAGTAGCTGAGCTTTTTCATTCCGATTCTTTGTAAAAAGGTTTTTATCAGAGATAAAGAATGTTTCTATTTCAATATAATTTATTTTTACAAAAAAACAATTGATGCAATCAAATTTAGTTTTAAGGGTCAAGTGTTCATAAAATTGCATTTTTTATTTTTTTGGTCTAACTCACTTAATATTTGGAGTGTCATTAATATAATAATTAGCATACACAATATAACTGATTTTGATGATTTTTTCAATAGTTCTAGGGATTTTTTACGAGTGTCGGAATTTTTAAAATACTTATTTTAAGATTTTGTCTTATTTGTGTTGTCTTTTTTTAATGCCATATTTAATTTATACAAAATTAATACTGTTTGTTGTGTTACTTTAGTAATTTAAATATAAAAATTTCCATTTGTATTCTTTTGTACAATTGTATAATTATGGTTAAAACAAAGGGATTTTTTAAACCAAGTTTTATAGTTACCATGTAAGGCAATACTGCAGAAAACCACGAAATAATTAGGTATATTTCTAACAAAAGTTAATTTAAAAAAATATTGACGTTTAATAATGCGCGACGAAAATTATAAAAAGCTACATTTCAAAAAGCTCAAAAATTATTTTGTGTCAAACAAAAATTATTTTTTTAGACAAAAATTTATTTTATTCCCCAGGGCTAGAAATTAATTTTATATGGTCATAAATTAAAAAGTAAAGTAGAGTGAAGAAAGAAAAAAAAAGGCAACTTTATAAGAATATTGACCCCAAAAACTAAATTTTATTGCATTAAATATTCATAAAATGAATTATTTTTAGATGAAAAAATGTGTAAGTGAAATTTGAGGTAGGTATATAAATTTACAATAAATTACCCAAAACTCAAAAACTTTATAGGGCCATAAAATTCGAGCTAACAAACGCAGTAATGGTTTTATTATTAAATAGGTAGGTATACTTTGAGGAAAAATCAGGTTTTAAATTGGTCACCCCAAATTTTTCGCAGTGTAATATATTCCAATACATAAAATAAATGGAAAAAAAAATCGTGATTTATCAAAAATCATTAAGTTAAATATACAAAACGAAAGTAAATTCTGGAAAATCTAAAAATTCTCGGTCTCTTTGATGGAAAATCGGGAATGATTTCAAACAATAAATTGACAACTTGCAGTGATTTTCTTTATTTAAATTTAAATGCCAGTGAAATTTTTCAGTTGTGAAAGAATATAACAAATAGAAATTTGAATCGTTATCGTCATGTTTGATGATTTTGTGAAATTTAGTTCGTAAATTTTGCTAATAAATTTGCAGTGATTGATGGTCACCAGAATTTTTTTTGTTAAATTGAGCTCAACTTATCAAAAGTCATACATTCGACGGATTGTGTAATAGATTATTTCTGTGGGTAAAAGACAAGAGGATAAGTCAAAAAAAGCAATTTTTCAGTAGAGACTTAAATGTATTCGCATAAATTCAGGAAATATATTTATGGTTAGCGGGTATTTTTTGTGTTTTTGTTAGCACATGTCATATGCTAACAAAAGCGTATATATTTCCTGAATTAATGCGAACACGTTAAAGGCGCTATTGATAAATTGCTTTTTTGACTTATCCCCTTAACCTTAACCCACAGATTTTTTGAAGAATTCGTGTACATTATAAAAATGTTATAAGCAGTCGAATTAATATCAATGATTTTTTATGTTATAAATTATGCAATAAATCCAACGTGCTTCTTTACATTTTAAGATTTATGAGTCGGAAAAACTTCGACCTAGGTAATATCATGGTACAAGAAAACAAGGTATGTTTTTGCACATCTGTATCCACCACTACATCAGATTGGCGAAGTGGTGTGAGCACCCAGTCGCCGCCATATTGACTATTTACATTTTGATTTTGAGTTGTTTTTAAGCTATTTTAGAGTTTTGTAAAAAAAACAATACATTTCCTTAGGATGGGCTTGAAAAAATTGATGTTAAGGATAGTAGATTTATTTTAAAAACAATTAATAGCAGTAATTTTTTTGGAGGCACTTTCCTTTATTTTAATAGTTATTTACGATATAAGTGGGATAAGAGCTAAAGCTAATACTAAATATTAACGGACGCATGCGAAATTTGCCCAACGAGTGCGTAGCACGAGTTGGGCAATCGCAAAAGTACGTTAATAAAGCGTTATCACACGTATATTGTACAAATTTTTATCTACGCCTCTAAATGAAAAAATAAACGGTAATTATTTTTGTCTAAGACTTAATTTAGGGTTATTTTGACATTTTGACTTTTTTATTTGATTGGTTAAAAACAGAGAAAAACGCGTGCGTTAATGAACTTCTTATCTCACTCAAAATGAGTGGGATAAAAAGTTCTTATCTCACTGGCGTAGATAAAAACAATTAAATAGCAGTAGTTTTTTAGAGGTACTTTTCTTTTGTATACACCGATTATCTGTGATATATAAATAAAAAATAATGTAGATTAATGTTTTAGGTTAATATTTTTGTTTGTTTTTTGTATCTTTTATTTGATTTACTTTGAAGATAGGGAAAATTGAATCGAAAAAACATACAAACTACATTCCTATAAAAAAGTCTTTAAAAGTGAAAACAGTTCCAACTTTACACTTAACAGCTGATCTATCAAAAGAGAAATCAAGTACCTTGTAAGAAATTAAAATAAAATTGAGAAAAAAAACAATATAAATAGTAATATTGTTTTATTTTAATATAAACTACACTGTTTAAAAGTTTCACTATTTTATTTAAATATGACAATTGTTTCGCTACACAGTAGCATCTTCAGATCTGAAGATGCTACTGTGTAGCTACTGTGTAGCGAAACAATTGTCATATTTAAATAAAATAGTGAAACTTTTAAACAGTGTAGTTTATATTAAAATAAAACAATATTAACATGGAGTTTCATCAAGTAAAAGTCGAAACAATTAATTATATAAATAGTAGTTCTTTTTACAGTGTACAAGAAATAGGACAAAACCAGAAAGCATAATATGATCTTTAAAGACAGCCCATAACAGAAACTCAAACTCTAAGAAATCAAGTTCTGCAGTATAAGAAATTAAAATAAACATTTATCAAAATTAAGTGTTTCTTTTTGCATTGTGCAGGAAATGTGCCGAGACAAGGAAGCTAATGATCTTCAAGACAGTCCATAGCAGAAACTCAAACTCGAGCATGCTGCTGATAATGAAATGGCCCGGGATTGAAACATCCCAAAAGCATTAGAAAACCAGCTTATACCATACCAAAATATAATATTTTTCACAAATTTAGTTTGTTTTATTTAATTGGCTCCATGGTGGCCAATTTTCTGTATTTATTTGGCAACTAAACCTAAATTACAATTAGTTGTAAATACAATTTTGTAATAAATAAATTTAGAAATTTTTTTTTATTTTATAAATGGCTTTAAAACAAGATATTTAATTTAAAAACACATTATTTAAAACTAAAACTAAACTAAAATTAAATTTTTATTCGCACTCTTTTCATATATTTTATTTGATATTTAGTAAATATTATTTACTTTAAACAAAATATTTTATTTGATTAAAAAACCATATAAAATAATTTTTTGTCATTAATAATATTTTTTTTTAAATGTTAATACTGTGACTAAGATAGTTTTTTGCGTGTGATCTTAAAATTATTCGCCAATTTAATCTAAAAATCGAATTATTTGATAGAAATTTGGATGAATTTCATAAAAGAATAATATTTAAATTTAAAAAATAATTTCAACTCAAAGGGGGACTAAGATGGCGGCAACTGGGTGGTGCTCAAAGTGAACCAAAATTCGTCCTACTGAAGAACATACCTTGTTTTCTTGTACCATGGGTAATATTATATTCAAATATATTATTATAAATTCTTGAGTTGAATTTTATGGCTCATGAAATTCAACTTCAATTATGTTTTATTCAGTATATCCACAACTACTTTTAATTTTTGTTAAATTAGATTAATTTCACATTTTTTTAACGTTCTAGTGTTTTTTAATGGCTTACTTCTTAGAATAATGGATAATCTTTTATTTTTAGCCAAGAACAAGTTCGGTTTTTCTAAACAATGATTCGTTTTTTGGCACATAAACTTTCTAATGTTCGGCTCCATCAAAACAAAACTAAAATTTTAGGTTACATTTGAAATCTGTTCGGCAGCAGAATGCGTGGCAACGTGTTTATCATACTCCAAAAGCCTAGTAAACTGTTTACTGCAAACGGCACAATTAAAAGTTTTATCGTTCGAATGCGTTAAGGTGTGCTCTTTCAAATCGCTGTTTGTGATAAACGCCCTGTCGCATTTCGTGCACACGAAATTCTTTTCGCCATTGTGACGTTTCAGGTGAATCCCCAGACAGCTGGATTGAGCGAAACCTTTGTTGCAAATGTTGCACACGTACGGCCGTTCGCCAGTGTGCGACCGTTTATGTACTATCAGGGTGCTGGAACCATTAAAACCTAAAAATAATGAAAAAAATAGTTTGGGTATTTACCAAAAACAGTTTTCTCTACTAAAGTTCTATTACCTTTGCACTTAATTGGTACAATTTTCAACATATCAAAAAGTGTATGTAATAGGACCAGGGCCGGATTTACGAATTTGCCGCCCATGGGCCCAACGCATCATTACCCCGAATAACGAATGACTCAGCGAATAAGCTAGAGTCGCGCCCAACTCGCCTCGTGTACATCGACTGCCGCCCTTCTACGCAGTGACGCACTACGCAGAATAATAGTGTAGTCTGATATAAAATTATCTAATGTATTAAAAAACTTCTCTTCCAACTTTTTATGGTTTTAATTAGTGTATAAATCTGAGTGAAAACAAAAATTCTGCATAAAACGCTCTTGATTTTTTAGCAAAATTTATCTGGCCTTCAAAATTTGCCGCCCTGGGCCCGGGCCCATGTGGCCCATGCCTAAATCCGGCCCTGAATAGGACCACTTAAAAACCTGGGTGAAACTCCCAGAAACGTAATATCTCGATGACCAATTTTTGTTTTATTTTATAAAAAAATATTGTATTGCAATTTTTTATAGGATAACTTATATAGTCATATAATAAAATGAAGAGAATGATAGACATTTACTAAGTGATGGGGCAGATGATCAAATATAAATTTAAGATATTGTTTTGCCATATTTATTTTTTATTTATTTATTTATTGAATACTATATCTTCCAATAAGCTAACCAAATAGCTTGTGTAGGCATTAGGGGCCGTCCATAAATGATGTCACACGTGTTTTTATATTTTTGACCCCCCTCCCCGACTTGTCACAAAGTGTCACAAATTATGGGACCCCCCATTGGCGTCACGTCACACTGATTTAATTTTTATGTAAGGTCTACCCCACGAAATTTTTGCTTAAAATAAAATCTTAATATCCACTTTATAACCATTATTAAATATTAAATTCCAAAATATTTTTATAATTTTGTGACATCACAATCTCCCAACTCCCCCGGCTGTCACAAACTGTCACATTTTCGACGACACCCCCTCCCCCCTAAGTATGTGACACCATTTATGGACGGCCCCTTGTGTAGATTTTTAGAAGTTAAGCTAATACTTGCCCTCTTTAACTTAACTCTTTTTATATTTATCATAATATTATTAAAACATTAAATTCCTTTCCAATATTTTTTTTATTTATTCCATTTCAAATTTTTTAAACAATATATCCTTTTCAAAAAAACTCTTTTTTTAATTTGTTAAATTTTATATTTTAATACAAGAAATTTTGAAATTTTTTTTGACATTATAAATACTAAAATATCCCTAGGTATTTAATAAATGTCGGCATTGGAAACGTATTGTACTTTCGGCGTATAATAAACCATAGAGAAATTTAATAAACTAACAGCTGACACATTATTTTTTGTCATTTAAAATCTCATATCAACTTTTGAGCTTAAAAGATATGTATTATAATTCAAATTTGTAAAAAATTACCCATTTTTTTACATGTAGTCCGCAAAGAAAGTTCAATGGCTAAAATTTCACGGGGGGTCTACAACATCTCACAAAATCTCACCAAGGGGGAGGGGGGGTCCAAATTATCAGAAAAATGCCTCACGTAATTAATGGATGTCCCCTTACCTTTAGTTTGCCTAAATAATAGTCACAATGGATGTGAAAATGTGAAATATTTATTTTTTAGAGGTAGATGGGGCTAAAAAGTATAATGACCACAGATCTACAAACTTGTTTGTAGGTCTGTGATAATGACCCATAAATTGAAACACAAGAACGTAAATTCAAAACGTAAAAAATAGGATTTAAACGCGACAACATTCGATTATGACAGTGGCAGTGACAGCAGTGTTATTTAAAATCTTAAAACGAACGTTCTGTGAAACTAACGAATTCATTCGTTTCACGAAATGTAATAATTCGTAGTGGACTTAAGTCGACTACAAAGAAAAAATTATTAAAAAAAGGTATGGGAACCAAAAATAAAGCAACAGAAAATATGCAGAAAGTTGAATGCAGTGAAAGTCTCAAGAGAAGAGCAGAAACTTATAAATAAATTATAATAAATAACAATACAATTGGGTTTTTTAATAATTTACATTAAAAACGAAATTATGGTAGTCACCAAATAAATCAAAACAAAAAAAGATAATCACGTGTTTGTAATCCAGTGTTGCCGGATCTTCTAGATGAGAATGACAGATTAATAATTTTGATTGGACGCAACTTTAATAATTTTTTACTCGGAAACCAGACGGTCAATCTATAACTTTGTAAATGTCTTTTAAGTATAAGACAATTCTAGATATATATAATTTTCTTATAGCAACGTGCCCAACTCTCCTTAAATGCTTAATAACTTACAAACTGTAAATTTGTATTTTTTGCACTTAAAATAACCTTTATTATAATACCTAAAGTGACCAGATTCTGTCAAAAAATAGGGGGACATTTTGTGTAAATTAACCTTAATTACAAAAATGACACAATCAACAATAATAAAGTAACGTCAAATTTACAATTTGCATTGTATGTATCATTGTGTCAATTTTGTAATTAAGGTAAAATTCATACAAAATGTCCCATTTTTTGACAAAATCTGGTTAATTTACTTATAGCGTCATATTGCGTTAGTGCGCGATTTTCGGGACACCCTGTATAGTATTTTCCATTAATATTACGAAAAAATTGGAATATTATAAATGTAAAATAAAAAAAATGAATAGAAAACATAAAGTTCACTCTCTGTATTGAATAGTTTCTGAAATAAATAATAAGAAGTTTTTTTTACAATCATCCTAATATTAATTTATCACCCTGTGCATAAATATGGTTTTTCTGTTTCCCCATCAATGATTTTACATTGATACCTAAGCTGTTTGCAACCTAATAAGACAAAATAAATAAATATTTTCAGTCAAAAAGTGTAATTTTTGTAATATGCAATTTACCTAAATATCTTTAAAATGTAAATTTCAAAGATTCTTTGTTTGTTTTATCCATTAAAATTATGTTACCTTTATAGCAAATATCACAAATATGGCTCTTCTCTCCAGTATGTGTCCTCATGTGCTTAGTCAGCTCATTGGACTGGCAAAAGGCTTTTTGGCAAACACAACACACATATGGCCTTTCACCTGTGTGGGTTCTAATATGGGCTATCAAATTTGAACCCGTTGAAAAAGCTTTTGGACATATATGGCATTTATGGGGACGTTCACCTAAAACCAAACAAAATACGTTATTTGATAAAATTTCTAAATTTTTTAATTTTATTTTTTAATATTTTAATTAAAACCCACAAATTTGGGTTTTACCTGTATGAGTTCTCATATGTTTTTCTAAATCTTGAGCTTGCCTGCACCCTTTATCACAAACAGAACACCTAAAAGGCCTTTCGTCTGTATGTGTCCGCATATGAATCTTAAAGTTACCACTGTGAGAAAATGCCTTATTACATATTTTACATTTGTATGGCATATCTTTTGAATGTGTTTTTATATGCCTTGATAATTTTGTGGATGTTGAAAAACACTTATTACATGTTGGACATTGTTTCTGGTTGTCTTGTAACTTTTTACTTTTTATTTTTTTTGTTCTCTCTTTTTCTTCTTCATGAGTTACTAGAGGATCCAGTTGCATTATGGGCTGTATTTGAGGTAACTGTAAGTGTATTTGAATTGGTGTTGAGTTGGGATGATTTTGAATTATATTTCCTAAAATTAACATTATGTCTGTATTTTTCTAATCTCAAAATCACCTCCAACAAAATAAAACATACCTTGATTTGTTGGTAAAGAATATGCTCCATTATAAACCTGAACTTGATTGGGAATGTTGTAATTAATTTGCATATGACTTTGTGTGGGAATATTATAATTAATTTGCGATAAAGGTGGTTGATTTTGATTAATAAAATGTTCATATTTTTCCTCTTGAACCGTTTCAATTATAGGTCCACATTCTATGAAAATTTGTTCTACATTCTGATGATTCTGCAGTAGGGGTTGTATCTCGTTCATTTTAATTTCTGCAGGTTGATTATTTTGTGTTTCTACTTGTACATTTTCCTGTCTGGGTTTGTTCATGTATTGCCTTAGTTTGGAATCAGATTTTTCACTTAGCTTTTTGAACTGAAATGATATATGCAATCTAGCTAAACATTTATTGCATATTTGTGCTGGTAAACCATCATGTTGCCATACCTTTTAATAAATTAATTTTTATTAATATAATTTAAGAGGTAATAATATTACAAACCTGAATAGAAGCACATGCCATCATTTTTTTGTGCACGTTTACTTTAAATATCGACATCATTACACCTTCGCCCAAACATATACGGCATATTTTATCAAAATCAAGCTCTGTTGCTTCCATGGTTATTTATTAAACAAATTACATAACCTATATCCGTAAACAAAACAAATGTCATTTGTCAAACTGACCTTTTTAACTGTTGCCAACAGAAAAAAAGGTGTAACATTTTAAATGTTGGGGCTGTATACGAGGGTAAATGATAAAGCTTAAATAAATTGTTAAAAATTTACCATGTTATAAAAGATCCTTACATAATGTAAGTTAAATTTATGTCGAAAGGGACTACCCAGCAAACACACTAGTCCGGCCATGCAATGGCACATTAATGGGCCATTGCATTATCTTTAATTAATTTTTACGCAGAAACACAATACAAACTTGCAAGTTTGGAAACATGACGTCGCCATTTTTTGGTTCCCTTGTAGCACACTTAACTATGCCTGTATGAAAAAGGATCATCTATACAGTGCTTGCAAATCCAAGTCCGACCGGTTTGGGAAGGACGCGTGAAAATAACAAGGATAGAACGCCAAACAGAAGGCGCTTACAATACGCACGCCTGACGCTCAGACCAATCAAATTCTGTTTGGCATTCTATCCTTATTCTTTTCACGCGGGTATTGAACAACCATCCTTCCCAACGCGGTCGGACTTGGATTTGCAAGCATAGATGATGATGAGAGATATCTCTTAGACCATATTCCATAAGGTCTAAGACAATACATATATGTATACATACATACATACATACATACATTATAAGGACAGCGACTATGATTTGTATTCTTTAATTAATACCTAATTTATAAGAAAAGTAAGTCTTCTATCTCGTGGAAATTTTCACTCAATAAAAAACTAGTTTTAATAGCTATTACTTTTAGAACAATAGATGTTCTAGATTACCCTTCAATAAAGGAGACATCCATTAATTACGTGAGATAAAAATAAGGGGGAGGGGTCTAGCAAAATCTCACCAAAACTCATGTAAGGGAGGGGGATCATTAAAAATCTCACGTCAACTTTTGGGTTTAAAGAATAGGTGTGTACCTATTATAATTCAAATTTGTCAAAAAAAGTAATCAATTTTTATTTTTGGGTTGGCTAGAATCTCACGTGAGGGATAGGGGGGGTCTACCCACATACTTGTGGAAGTATGTGGGTCTACCACATCTCACCAAGGGGGAGGAAGGGGTCCAAATTATCAAAAAAATGCCTCCCGTAATTTATGGATGTTCCCAAAGGGTATCTACTTTAAGCCAACTGTTATGACAATTGTCGGGCCTATAGCGCGCTATAGTATGTGGGCTTATATACAAAGAGAAACATATTTTACATTTCTCAGAAAATTTCATTTTTGATTTCAAAACCCCAGAAAATAGGGTCAGTCAAGTTGGCCCCCCCCAATCGTGCAAACCCCCTCTATTATACATCATAATTTTGCACACATTTTGCACAATTTTGCACACCCATTCTTAAATTTTGCACACACCTGCTTTGGAAATGGCAAGTAAAATCATGTGGGGGGGGCAAACTTGACGCTCGCCCCCCCCTTTGCTCCGACAAACTCTACTTTTTGTCATCATATTCTTCTAATTTTGCACAATTTTGCACACCTCATTTCAAATTTTGCACACCCCTACTTCATTCCTCACGGTGTCCCAAAAATTTCTTCCTAGCCCCCCCCACTGAAGAAATTCACTTTTTTTTTTTGCTATCCTTATCCTCTAATTTTGCACAATTTTGCACACCTCATTTCAAATTTTGCACACCCCTCCATCCACCCCCACGGCATCCCAAAAATTTACTTACTAGCCCCCCCCCACTGACAAAATCCGCTTTGATTTTATGCTATCCTGATCCTCTAATTTTGCACAATTTTGCACACATCATTTCAAATTTTACACCTTTTTCAAATCTAGCCTAACCCCTACATTAACGTCCTCGCTCACTGTGTTTCCGAAAATTTTATCCAGGTCTCTCCTTGCCACTGCCAAAATTCTATTAGGTATACCTTGTCATCTAAATTTGCACAAATTTGGAAACCATAATTAAAAGAAGGAAAAGTATTCAAAGGCCAAGCTTTTATTTTTTTATCAAAATACTAGTACAATACAGAGGAATACAAAGATAAAATAAAATATGAAAACAAAAGAAGTACCTATTCAACTTCTAATATTGGGACGTATAAAACAAAATTTGGCAATTCACCATTCGCTTACCAGAACAGGACTCGCTTTTAGTTTTGGTGTCGTTATAAATCTCCCAACGATTATTATGTTGCAATTGTGGATTAATAAATAATATCATCTACAAATCTACTTTGGAAGTTGTTATAGAATTCGCGCAGGAACTTCCACAAAGTCCTGTTCTGGTAAGCGAATGGTGGATTGCCAAATTTTGTTTTATACGTCCCAATATTAGAAGTTGAATAGGTACTTGTTTTGTTTTCATATTTTATTTTTTCTTTGTATTTCTCTGTATTGTACTAGTATTTTGATAAAAAAATAAAAGCTTGGCCTTTGAATACTTTTCCTTCTTTTTATTATGGTTTATAAATTTGTGCAAATTTAGATGACAAGGTATACCTAATAGAATTTTGGCAGTGGCAAGGAGAGAGCTGAATAAAATTTTCGGAAACACAGTGAGCGAGGACGTTAATGTGGGGGTTAGGCTAGATTTGAAAAAGGTGTAAAATTTGAAATGAGGTGTGCAAAATTGTGCAAAATTAGAGGATCAGGTAGCATAAAAACAAAGCGGATTTTGTCAGTGGGGGGGCTGGTAAGTAAATTTTTGGGATGCCGTGGGGGTGGATGGAGGGTTGTGCAAAATTTGAAATGAGGTGTGCAAAATTGTGCAAAATTAGAGGATAAGGATAGCAAAAAAAAAGTGAATTTCTTCAGTGGGGGGGGGCTAGGAAGAAATTTTTGGGACACCGTGAGGAATGAAGTAGGGGTGTGCAAAATTTGAAATGAGGTGTGCAAAATTGTGCAAAATTAGAGGATAAGGATAGCAAAAAAAAAAGTGAATTTCTTCAGTGGGGGGGCTAGGAAGAAATTTTTGGGACACCGTGAGGAATGAAGTAGGGGTGTGCAAAATTTGAAATGAGGTGTGCAAAATTGTGCAAAATTAGAAGAATATGATGACAAAAAGTAGAGTTTGTCGGAGCAAAGGGGGGGGCGAGCGTCAAGTTTGCCCCCCCCCACATGATTTTACTTGCCATTTCCAAAGCAGGTGTGTGCAAAATTTAAGAAGGGGTGTGCAAAATTGTGCAAAATGTGTGCAAAATTATGATGTATAATAGAGGGGGTTTGCACGATTGGGGGGGGCCAACTTGACTGACCCCAGAAAATACCACACATCATTGTTGGTAAGTTTTCGTTCAATTGTCATTTTCTCTCAATATTATTATCATTATGTCATTAATTTTTATATTTATGAAAAAGTATAAAAATACATAAAACAGTAATGAAAAATTCTTTATGGCGATAAATAAATTAAAAGGTAAAAAGCTTTGAACATGTAAATAGAAACGATAAATGAAAAATTAACAAAAATTTACCAAAAATAATTTTTTTTAGAAAAATCAAAATTGCAAATTAACCACATGGTTAACCCATGTGATAATAACCAACATTATAATGGTTTATGCATAAACAATAAAAATGAGGTGTCACATATTCTGCGGTTTTGAAATCAAGCAGACATTTTCCCCTCTTTGTAACCCCATCCTGTTTATTTTAATAACAGATTCAAATTTTGATTATGAGTTTAATAACCATAGCCGGTTAGTAACAAAACATATTTTTAACAATTTTTTTTTGTTTCAAATCGTCAAATATGATCAGGATTTTGGATGTCTGTAAACTAAATTGAGGCTGTACTTAGATTCCAAAATCCGTTTATGAAAAAACGTATCACAACAAAATTTCAAAATAATTGTTGTAAACAAACCCGGATAAATTTATATATTCCCTTCCTCTTTCTTAATCTTAAAGAAACGTATAAAATTTCTTTTGTTAAACCTGGAACTCTTTGATTGCCCCATGTATACCTGTGACATTTATGATCTGGTTTCAGTTTAGGGACTTTTAACTTTAAAACCCTTTGGTGTATGTATCTTGCCCTTTACCTGTTTATTATAAATCTACCTGTATAATTATATATCCCCAATACAAATGAGTATTCCTTAGTACACTCAAAGTTAAATTATTTTAACGCTTCTTACGTCAATAACTTTCTAAAACAAATCACGGATTTACTTTGTTTCCGTATTGTTGGCTGCCAACAGTTGGCAACAAGTTTTAATTGTTATGTTGTTTAGGTTATATACGTGGAGGTTTTCGATTTATTAACAATTTTTAAGTGGTTTTCTGTGAAAAATGGCTCCTACAAGAAAGCATATAGATGATATATTAGCTAGGGTTAATTTTCCTTTGTACACAATACAAATGCTGTCAAACAGACATGTTCTAGTCGGAGGCGGAGGAGGTTCTTCGAAAACTGGCGTAGCAAATGGATTTGTAAGTAAAATATCCAACATATAATAGTATCTGTCGATGCATAAATATGTTTTAGGAAATATTTGAAATAGCCCATGATGGGAAAAAATTTATTGCTGAAGAGGTGACCAGACACGAAACAGGACCCAGTGTTGTTATGAATTGCTCATCGTACAGTAACAGTAAACATTCCTACTTAGTGGCAGGCCAAGAAAGTCATTGTCAGTTATACAGTGTTGATAGTGTTCTAGTCAGAGATGAAGATAATGTGGAAAATGTTGGTGAAAATCACACAGAAGTGAGGCAACGTAAAGCAAAACCTAAAGAACAAACAGACAATAACAGAAATGTGAAAAAGAGATTAAAGTTTAATATCAAGCCTATGGACAGTGTGCAGACTGATTTTAATGGACAGGAACCTTTGTTGAGAGTTATGCGGATAGGGCACAATGGAAAAATGCTGGCAACTGGTAAAAACATTTTTTAGAAAAATACCTATCTTTACCTTTCTAATTAGGCAGTGTTTAGCCATTTAGCCTTACTTTACATAGAACAAATAGGTACATAACTTTTAATTTAATATTTTTAAACATGGACAATTTTTTTTATTTACATAATTTAAAAACCACTTTATTTGTTATATTATTAAATTAATGGTTAAACACATTTTAGTTAGGGTGGCCACATGGCTGGAACTTGTAAATTATAAAAAAATTAAAATATCAGAAAAACTAATAATACCTAAGTAATAATAATAAATATATATTTAACATTTTAATTGAATATTAATATATTACGTTTTTCTCTAAATTATACTTTGAGTGTAAGAATATATCTACAAATAAATTAAATTTAGCTTAAAAATTATAAAGTGTATTAAAATGTATCAACTACAATACACATGAAGTTTACAAATAAACTAAATACCTACAAATAATTATATAATTACTATTATTTAGCATATAAGCAATTAGTTGTGCAATTGGTCCATATTTTGGAACCATAAGACCATACTGGGATCATTTATGCTTAATAGGCTCTAAATGACCCATTATCATATCTTCCAAAGGGTTTACATTCACCTGAAAAATACCCTTTATATTGCAAACAGGACTGTCAAACTTTTTTAATTATTTCAAAAAAAGTAAAAACATCATCCCTTATAAATATTAAATTTTATTATGGCCCTTATTAATAAATACATTTCTTCCTTTTATGGAAATTTATTATAGTGTATTTTTTAATTTCTGAAAATGTTACACAAATGGAGTGTTTTTTGTAAAAATTTCTACTATCAAGAAATTGAGAAATATTTTTACACAAACCTTTATAATTTAAAAAACTCAGTGAGATACCTAGAACACTTTTTAGTAAGCCAATCTAGAGATTAAAATTTTCGGAAAAAAGGGATTTTTTTCAAAAAATTTGAAAGTATTTTAAATATTATTTACAAATTATTTTGATAAAAAATGCATATTAATTATGACACTGAAAATCAGATCATATAGCGCCATTTTCATTTTTGTACCTGTCAAACTGTTTTTATCACAAAAAATTTTCGAAAATATAAATTCCTTTCAGGTTTGTCATAATTCAATTAATGGCATAATTTCTTACCCGTTTTTCAACCAATTTAATTAAAATTAATGAATTAATTCTTGACTTTTATATTTATTTTTATTCACGAATTAATTTACCTAGGTGAAATAATTTATGCCTACCTTGATTGCAAACATTCATTTCCACCAGCTATTGGTAGGTAACCTTTTAATTGAAAATTCAAGGTTTTCTTTCTATTTATGCAAAAATAATAATTTATTTTTTATTGTATGCTTGAATATTATGATTCATAAACTAGTTCTAAATTATAAACTTTGAACTTGAAAAGTTAAATAAAATATTTAAACATTTTTCATTTAATATGTTCACTATAGTTTAAATGAACCAAACATTTTATTTTTCTAGTCCCATCTTTAAAACACCCATTATTGTACATGTTTCCATGACACTAAGTGACCTTTTAGATACACATTTATAAGTTGTGGCTTTATGGCGTTTTAGTCACGGGCTGAAGTTAGCAAAAGGTTTTGTTAGTTTTAAGTTAGTTAACAGTTGTCAAATGTCTTACAATTGTTAAATAAAGTGACCTTCTTGTAAAATAATACTAAATGTAAACATTATTCTCAAGACAAAAATACAAAAGTATTTAATAGTTTATATAAACATTGCAGTAAACTAAATTTAACTTTATTTTGGGTGGAGACTCCACTGTGGAGTGCCCATAAAACATTTTTTTACTTCACTGTGAAAAACTGTTGTTAGTCCATTTTCAAGGGATACATTTCAATTTAAACATACATTTCACCGGCGTGCCGGTAATACAGACTCCCAAGAATGGTCTCTATTGTTTTATAGATGTCGCTCTATACAAATATTTAATTTAAATCATTTTTAGATAATAAGTAGTGATGCAACGGTACCGGTTTTACGGTTACGGTTACGGTTAGCTCTACGGTTACGAATACATTAACGGTTATTCCAAAAAAAATACAGAATTACAAAAAATTAAGTTTATTTTTCAAAATTAAATTAATATACACGTTCAGTAAAGGTTAAATAATAATTTATGTAAAACAAAAACAGAATTTCTAATAAAAATATAAAACAAAAGGACATAAGTAACATTTTAAACCTAAAAACAGTAAAGTAAAACCTAAGTAGGTACCTGAATAATATATTTTAAAAAATAAAAAAGTTAATATTCAAAATTTAAGGCAGTATTTAAAAATCAACATCTGCAAATTCTGCGGAATCAGCCTGTTCCTGTTTGGTATCGCTAAATACTCTTCAATCTTCTTTTTACATGCATTCACAAAGTAGCATGAAAAACCGTAAATGACGTATACGGTTACGAGTAACCGTATAATATCGAAAACCGTGAATTAACCGTAACCGTAACCGTTGCATCACTAATAATAAGTATTTGTTATAGGAAAAAGTATAGTATGCAACTTGTTTATAAACTTTTCTAGATAATAATTTCGAAAGCTCGCTCGTGCCTAATTAAAATTCGTGACTAAAATGGCGTTTATCAAACTTGATACATATGTACTATTAACAATGCCTTATACTATATTTTTATTTTTTTAAGGTGGTACAGATAATACAATTAAACTATGGAAATTCCCTAACTTAGAGCCCCTAGCAACATTAAAAGCCCACGAAAAAGAAATTGATGACATAGATTTTAGCCATCATGGTAATTTTTTAATAACTGTTGCAAAAGACGGTTTGGCAGTATTATGGGATAGTTTAAAGGGTAAAGAACTTAATAGGCTGGAATGGAAACAACCTGAGGGATCAAAATATTTATACAAAAGATGCAGGTAAGATCAATCTATAATTTCGGGAAATATAAATTTGTTGTTTGTTATGTCAAGACCTTTCAAATTTTAAGAATTTTGAAGATTTTTAAAATTCTTATATATCTGCATGGGTGCACGTCATCAACGGCATATGACGTCAGCGTTAAGGTCTATTCATACGTGCCTAGGCACAATCTAACGCTCGTGTATTGTTTACTGTTTATAGCGGTGGGGGCTGTTTATTAAGATGGAATTATAACATCATTATTATAATCTTCTACACTAACTTATTAGGAGTTTGTTATGGGCAAATTTTGATTAAATGTGTTTAAAGAGGAAACAAACATTTTTATTACAAATGTATAAATTTACTATTAAGGGAGCAATGTCTTCGCAATCTTATAACTGTTGGCGTTGCCAACAAGCCTTGCAACATTATTTGCATAATCCAGTGTTAGAATATGATAAATACAATGTATAAAACATAAAATTATTTATAATAATATGCAACCAACAATGCTTACGGACGAAATGTCAAAATTACAAAAAAAACGTCAAATATATATATAGTTCTTGAAAACAATACGCAAATGATTTATATTTTTTATAACATCAGAATTACGCCTTAAGCCTGGTTCATATAGATGCGACATGCGAATTTGCGAAATGCGAAAATGTTTTCATTGGTCCATTTGATTTGGCGGGAAAAGTGTTTCGACGTTTCGACAGATTCTGCGAATTCGCATTATTTGAAATCTGGGGGGCGGGAATCTTGAGATTGATCCAATATTTTGCGAAAATCGCACGAATTTGGCGTGATGCGCATGCGCATTAATGCAGATGCCTATTATACGTATTTGTTATATGTATCCGCGCCATTTTTGTTTATGTTCTGTGTTTATTTCATTTGTATTGCATCGTTGTTGAGTTTTATTTGAAATGTTTCTTGCTAAAGTTGTTTTTTGTTCTTTATAATGGACAAAGAGTTTTTGGAGGTACATGTACCTCCATGCATTAGTTTCTTCTTTTACCTTATAGTAGCATATTTTTTTAGAAGTAACTTTACTATTTAAGTACCTATAGGTATACCTATAGAAAATGTTAACCAAGTATGGCAAATATCACCTGGAGAGAAAATAATGTCCCTAAAATACCATGGCAAATATCGCCTAGTGAGAAAACAATGTCCCTAAAATGGTTCCGACAATTCGCATCTATATGAATAGGAGCTGCGAAATGCGAATATTCGTATTTCGCAAATTCGTAAATTCGCAAATTCGCATCTATATGAACTCGGCTTTAAGTCGGTTTCATTTAGATGCGAAATGCGAATTGCGAAATACGAATATTCGCATTTCGCAACTCATATTTTATATGGATGCGAAATATTTTAGGGACATTGTTTTCTCATGCTATTTTAGGTACTAAAATAGTAAATTTACTTAAAAAACTCTGTCCATTATAAAAAAAAAACAAAAAATAACTTCAAACACTTACCTATTTAAAAATTAATATTAAAACTCAACAAAACAAACACTACGATACAAACGAAATAAACATAAATGGCGTAGGTATGATAAGCAATTGCATTAATGTGCATGCAAAACGCATGCGCATCACGCCAAATTAGTGCGATTTTCGCAAAATATTGGATCCATCTCAAGATTCCCGCCTCCTAGATTCAAATCTTGTAAATTCGCAGGATCTGTCAAAACGTCGAAACACTTTTCCCGCCCAATTAAATGGACCAATGGGAGCATTTTTCGCAATTCATATCTATATGAAACTGGCTTTAAAAACGCAGCTTTAACTGCAGTAACTTTACAATTTAAAGTTGGTAATGCCTATTCATTATATCGCATTGATGACGTGCACCCATGCAGATTTGGCCGCGACTATATATCTTACTAATTTCTTACGCCACTCTCACACATCATGTGACCCTTTGTGGACAACTTCATGCTGTCGAATTTTCGTTAGCTTCTCGCCCGCTAAAATTCACAATCAAAGAGCGAAAAAGTAGCATAACTTCAAAATCATGTTTCTCAGGTTTGGCCTTATCGAGGGGTTGGACGAGAAAAGGTCTGCTCTGTACATGCTGGCAAATCCCACAGGCGTGGCCAGAAAGCAAAAATCCTACCTGCAACAATGGTTGGCCGAAGGTGGCCACCTGAAAAATTCCATCGAGTTCGATGAAAGTTTGAGCGCGTTGGCTGTGAGAGACGACGGCAGATTCGTAGCCGTCGGTACGATGTTCAGCGGGTCTGTGTCCATACACGCTGCATTTAGCTTGCAGGTAAGTGTATTAGTTCGAAAAGGTTGTCGCAACAAGGGTGGCGAAGCGTGAAATTGGACGAGTAGACAAATACAGTGTGTTTCACATTCGTAGTCCATTAGAAGTTTCTGGGGAACGGAAAAAGATTTATCTAAAATATTTTGAACAAAATGCCACTTCAACTTTGTATAATATATGTATAAATAAAAAATATCACATGAACATATTTAATCTGCGAATTAAAAATATCATAGCAGATATTTAAAAGTTAGATTTAATTTGTATGCCAAACAGATATTTTTAATTTAGTGAATTTAAAATATCCGTTTCTTATATTTGTATTTTTTAGTTAAACACATTTATTTAATTCGATTAATTAAAAGTATGAAAGGAAAATTTTTTAAATGTATTAAAAATATAGGAGATATTTTTAGATGGCGGCACAATCATTCAGATCTACGACGTACATGAGTCCGATGTCGCATTAAAAATGCGTGTTTGGCAAAAAATATTATTTTAAAATACAAATATAAAAATATAATTAAAAATATTACTTTAGGGTTAACACATAAAAGTAATTCCGGAATAAAAATAAAACGGCGCCCCATACTTGTCAATGTTTTTTATAAGTTACTTACTGCTATTTTTTATTGCACTTAGTAACTAAGTCTTAGTTACACTTAATTAGTCAACAAATTGTTTATAACAACCTGAAAAATTGATGCCATTAAATTTTAAACAATGAAAGATTATGTGCTAAGTTACCACTGGTAACCATAGATAAAGTCAACTCATCGTTTTCACAGGTTTCTTGATACAAAATAATATTTGAAATTTTACAAATTGTTAAATATCTCTGAAATTATTAACTTTAGGTATAGGGAATAGTAACATCAATCAAAAGGTTTTTTAATTTACTATTTGAATATATATTCATATATGTAAACACATACCGGGTGTTACATTTAAAATAAAAAGTTATTAACCTTTCAAGTTAGACCAATTTGCCTGGGCTTTCTCAGGTGATTTGTTAAATTTTTTTTAAAGAATTGACATGGAATTCCATTAAATTAATCTTTTAAACAATGTTTTAAGATTCCACAAATTCCAAATCCGCAAACCTTCTAACAAAAAAGTTATAGGCTATTTATGAGTGACGCGCATTTGTCAAATTTTAAAGAAAAAATATTCACTTTAGGTATAGGACATGGTATAGGGTTGGATAAAAAGTGTGGGATCAAATTGGGTACTTAATTATACAATTGGGACTTCTATTTCAGTAAAATGTTTACCCATTTTAAAAAATGGCATTTTTTAGGACTGAGTAATAAAGGCTGATCCAATTCGTGCTTTAGGATTTTAATATTAAATAAACCCCAAACATTGCTGCGCGGTCAAAATGTAATGAAAAACGTAATGATAAATTAGACTAATCGAATTCGTTGGTCTTTTAAATCCTAAAGCACTATTTAATAATAAGTTGCAAAGCAATGAAAGAGTTCACTCTTCCCATGCTTTGAATTTAAAATTAAAACAATAGGGCCAGCCACTAATTTTACGATAATAAATGACAAAAAGTTGGCCAAAAGGCCAAAAACAATGTCAAGCTCTTTTGCGTGTTTTTTAAATAAATTATTCTTTTGAATTTAAAAATATTTTATTAAAATGTGTTTTAAATAAACTTGAAACAATTCTACATGTTTATTCGAATAACTACAGTGTAGAATAAAAAAAAATCAACACATTAATTGGTTAAAATTATTTTGGGTGTGCATTGAGTATCTTGTCTACCCGCACGCTTCGCCACTCACCAACAGAAACTTGAATTATTGTATTAAAAAACACAGTATACTTTAAGCATTGAGTAAGATGTCAATGCTTTAAGGTAGTATTTCCATTTTGGAGAGTTTCAAATGTCTTCAAAATTTAATATATGATTTTGTGAGGCATCAGACGCATTCACAAATAATTTCAGATTTCAAGAAAATAAATTTCAAAGTTTCAACATTTGTTTTTATACGCCATTTTTTATTTTGTTTCTCGAGTTTGGAAACAAATTTTTAAATTAATCTTTGGGAAATTTGTGGGAAATAACACTTCTGCCATGGATTTTAAAAAAATTCGTTTTTAAACTCAAGCAATCAAAGGCTTAGATTATTACAGTATGATTTTTATGGAATCAATTTTTTAGCACTTTTCAAAATTGTCATTTTAAATTTCTTGCTGCCAACTTAAGAAACACAAAATTTAACTGTTTTAAACCTTAATAGGTAGTTTGTATTACAAACTTTTAATAAAGTATATATTTGTTAATTAAAATACGTTTTATTTTTACTATATTAGCACCGCTGAATTTTCTGTCACGGGGCGTTTGCGGGTATTTTACCCAAAAATCGTGTATTTTCCTGTAAAATATTGAAGAAGGTAAAAGCGGGTTTTTGCAAATTTCGATCAAAATACTAAACTAAACTAAAGAAATTTTCAGTAAATAATAATGTATATTTAATATACATAATTATTTCATTACATGCTTTTACCCTTCTTCTTGACTTATTCAAAATTTAATTAATTTATCAAAATAGGGCAAATGCGCTTAAAATTTAAAAAATAACTAGTTTATTTACTCTTGCGGTAAAATCGGGTATTTTGTAATTTTTCTTCGGAAACTTTCATGAAATTTACTCGGCCTATTGTTATTTATTTGTCAAACTCTTCAAATGGAGACCTTAAGCAAAAATCACTACTACTAAAATAGTAATTTTAAAAAAATAGTAAGTAGGTAATAATTACCTACTTATTATTTTTTTTAATTTAAAATTCAAGTTTTTGTGATGCAATATTTATTTATTGCATTAATTTTACTAATATTGTATTTCTTTGGTTTTTAGAAAGTTTTAAACATTTCTGGGGCACATTCCATGTTCGTTACGGGTTTAGAATTTTTACCGGTATCGCAAGATAATCATACAGCTACAAGTGTAGCTGAAGCTGCAGTTTTATCAATTTCTGTTGATAACCATGTTTGCATACACACATTGCCATTTAGAAGTAAGTAATTAAATTTGCTATTCTTTATCAATTTAGGATTTAATAAACATTTTTTGTTTGATTTACTGTTTTACTGAAACAAGTTAAAATGTTTAAAAATAAAGATTTTTTTACTTTATAAGCAACAGTTTATATTAATAATATATTTTAACACCAATACAATTTGGTGTGTCCATTTTTTTTTTTTTTTAAATTGCTATTTAAATTTTTTATTTAATTTAATTCAATATTTAGTGTTTCTGCTAAATTTATTATGTTTTAATGGACTATAATATAATTTTTTTTAGAAACAATGCCAGCCTGGATTGGAATACTCATTTTAGTTTGTACATTATTTATGACTTTTGTATTTTGTTCCTATTTACGTATATAATTTGTTATTAAATTATTTATTACTGTATTATATGGTTTTTGTACAAAATCGGTCCATAGGATTAAATAAATCAACACAATACACTTTAAAATCGTTTCATTATAAAATCACCTCTTCAATAAACTTACTTATAAATATTTTTTATGGTACACATCAAATTATTTAAAAACTTAATTTCCTACAAGACCAAGGTAATCATCCATAAGAGTTCCAATAGCAAACTAAAATATACATATTATGTGTTTTAAAAATATTTTTTTAGAAAGTAATATTTAACTTATTAAAATTTAAATCTACTTACAATTCCTGATGCATCAACTCTTGTACCAACAATTTTAAGTCTTATTTCTCCTTCACCAGTTATAACAACATCTTCATCTTTGGTTTTGTAGCAAGGTGGACTGGGGTTTGGACAAAACTCCATTTCTGCTGGTATGGACTAAAAGAACTGATAATGAAAAAATCCAAAATGTGTTTTAGGTACTGCTAAATTTTAGGCAAAATTTAAGTCCATTGTATTGAAATACATATATTGTTAATTCATATATTTTATTGTATTCAATACTCAACAATTAATTATTTTTAATTTTTTTTTATAAAACTAGTTGTACAACAAAGTTTTGACAATATAAAAAAGATAAAGGTAAATAGGTATTTCACCTGTTTTCTACCAAATTAATTAATTTATATAATTTTTGACTTAAATCATGATTTTAAATTTTAAAAAAATCAATAAATGTAAAACAGTGGTTTAAATCATGCCAACCATGTTTTTAAATGCTGATGTATTTGATACATACATTTACCCCCAAAGCTTGAACTATAATACTTACATGGTGAGAAATAAAACAGGACAAAGGCCCAATATCCGCAAAGATTCCTACCTAAAATAATACTTTTTAAAACCATTCCATTAAATTTAACAACTACTTACTTTGTTAACTTGTCTGACAACAGCATCTAAAACCTCGCCCTTAAAAGGCCTAAAAACAATAGCCTTATATTTCACAGGGTACACAACGTAGCCTTGTCCAGGCAGAATTAAACCAGCTCCTATACTGTCTATCGTTGTTACAGCAATCACAAAACCATACCTTAAATAACACAATTTTGATTATTTTATAGTTTTATTAGTATTACTACTTTTACTTTCCGGTACAAGTTCCCTCGACTTCCGTATACAATTTCGTCTTAACTTTTTCCAATAATTGAGGTCCAAAGTACTGTGGGTGCAGCAATATTTCATGTTCTAATGATATCTACAGGAAAATATAATAATTATAATGTTATTAGAGAATAATTTTATACATTACGTGGTAAAACATTGTTAAAACTTAATTAAAACAGTTTGTTTTGGACGCGTCAATTTTTAGGTTAGGTTCCTCTGTGGTTAGGTTGGTTTTCAAACAAAATGTCAAAATTATGTTGGCAGCGTTGAAGCGCTAAATTTAAATCTTTTTTGACAAGTTTGTTCTAAATATACGTTAAAAATTTACTTTGAATTATTAATATATATTATATTGATGTTATTTTTTAAGCAGAATTAATTAAATTCAAAATTTAACTCTTGTTTGTTTAATAAAGCCGTTAGAAATGATTCATTTGTAAGGTCAAAAAACCGCATGATCTTTATATGGTAAAATTACTTTCAACTTGATTTAACGCCTACAAAAATACGTTAAGTATATTATCCCAAAAACGGTTGAGTCTTTACCTGGAAGTGACCGGATAAATTTATTATTATGTTATTTATAGCAAAAAATATTAAAAACAGGATATTAAAACATTTTAGTTAGGTATTTCTAAACAAATTGTTTTATAATAAAAATGCATTTTATCTTTTATCTAAATATTATGTGCTTATGTATATTATCAAATATTTGAGTATATTTTCAAAATACATAGAATTACTAATACTTGACTCATTTACGCTATTTCTTTGTTTCCAAAACTACAAAGGTATACATTTAAATTTGGAACCAACCCGTTTAAAAAAACCTCCGCCAATGGCCGAAGAGTATTCAAATCGCCTTGTCCAATCAGATGTCTCTATACCCCCACGTCAAAAACAGTTGCAGCCGTTTTGTCGTGCTCCGTGACGTTTATAAAGAGTTTGCAAACGTCTGTTGCATTTCTTTGTACATTTTATAGAAAACAGTGCACATTTAATGCCACTCTTTTAAAAGTTTATTAGCAATTCTCTCTGTTATTAGTGTCGTTTGATATTTTGTCAGCAGCTTTAAGGAGGAATTATCGGGTAAGATTAAGAAATATTAAGGGTTTTTTAGGGGTGAAGTTCGGTTAGACTGTCAAAAATGTCAATTTTATTATTTAATTAAAATTAATTGATTAAAATGTTGTAAAATAAATGGTTTTATTCGTTTTGGAAACTTTATTTTGGTTTGGAACAACTTGTTGCATTTCTTTGTCTTCTCTTATGCACCCATAACCTTTTAAAACACATGTTCCTAAAAGTCCCTGTTTATTTTCAGAATCAGAATGTAATATCATTTAAAACGTTTTATTTATTTTGTACATTGTAAAAACCAACGTTTTTTTCACTATTTTTTAGCTGCTAAAGACAGAAGTTTTCTATAATTTAAATTATAGTAAACCTAATTAAATACAGGGTGTTTGGTACTTTGACTTTAACAGGGTGTAAAGGAATAAAAATTGTCATTTATAACATCTCCTTAGATAGGGTTTGGACCCCTATAATAAATTATAATTAATTTAACCTTGCAATTCCTAAAATTAAGTTTTTTAATTACCTATATCCTTCATTAGGTAGTGGTAAGGGTGCACCCCACAATCTTAATGCAATTTTTTCTATTTTTCAGTGCAGGACATAAGATAAACCAAAATGGCTGATGTTATTTCGACCACAACTCACTCTGAATGTAAGTAATCAAAAAATGGTTTATTTGGGTTAAATTTTTTTTAAATATTTTTTAACCTTGATTTCTATAAGGAAATCAAATGAGATGCATGTACTTAATGCACCTAGTGCCCACGCTGGTTTTCTTTGTATTATGTTAATGGGTAATTTGTAAAGTAAACAAAGCAACAATTGTATTGTTATGATACAATTTGTAGTTAAATAAGGACAGATTTTATAATGAATTTGGGTGTAAAATTGGCCATGTAGGTATTACAATTACTTTGGAAATATAGGTATTTATATTTTTTCAATATACAAGGTGTCCAGAAAATGATGTATTAATTACAACAACCGCGTGTGTAAAAATTAATAGGTATTTACAATCATTTTTATGTTAGAGAGAGTAGTAAAAATTATGAATATTTAAAAGTACCGTAAACACGGGTGGCTTTGGCTCACTTAAAATTTTTGTGGTTTTAACAATCATAAACATTAAATTTTGTATACCAAAATTTGAGTCTTGAGTTGCTCTTTCATAATAACTATGTTATAATATTACATAGGGCTAAGTTTCAAAAATAAAAATTAAAAACTGGGTGTGCAAAGTTACCCCCTGGTTGCGGGTTACTTTGTCTCACAGTGTATTTTCCGTATAAAATGAATTCAATATTATATTTTATTTTTATTAGACACGTGTTAGCAGCGACATATATCTATTGCAAGGGATTACCAATAAAAAAAATAAAAAATCGACCTGTAGTTATCCAAGGATAATCATTCCAATGGATTGCGCATAATATAGAAATTTTAACGCGTGTATTTCTAAGAGTTTTGCACTGATGCGATATATACAATTTTAAAGTGTAATAAATCCCATTTATTTCTTTAAAACACTGATTTTCCTGTAATATAAACTCAATAGAATCGCTCAATTGACAGGTCTAGAGTCTAAACTTTAGACCAACAAATTATAAATGTTAATTTTATCGAGCGCGAAAAGATTTTTCATAAATGGGTTAAAGTCACCCGCGGGGTGCAAAGTCACCCGCGGGGTGCAAAGTCACCCGTATTTACGGTACCTAATAAAAATTAGTTCATATTTACACATACAGGGTGGGCCAATGGAAAGTTTCAACCCGGTTTTCTCAAAATAAAAAACGCTTGCACAAATCTACTTTTAATTTTAGGGGGACAATTTATCTTTATATTTTTAACCCTTAAGTGTGGGTGATGGTTACCCCTACAATTGTCAAAGGGAAGAGGGGTCAAGTGATAAATCATTTTGAAGGCCTTTCAAATTGGTGTATTAGTTTTTAAAGTTGGTCGGTTCCTTTTCGAGATAGGTATTTGAGAAAACTTTTTTTAATTTATTTTTATAAATTTTGACAAGCGCTATTTTTCCAATTTTTATATGATTGCGTTTTAACACAATAAAGCAACACATTTTTTTAAATTTTATTAAAATCGGATAATTGATTTAGAAAGAATGTTAAAAAAAATAAAAAACGCTCGCACACATCTATTTTTTATTTTAGGGGGACAATTTATTTTTAATGGTTACCCCTACAAGTGATCATTTTGAATCCCTACATTTGGTGTATTAGTTTTTAAAGTCGGTTCCTTTTCGAGATATTTGAGAAAACTTTTATTTATTTTTATCTTTAAATAAATTTTGTCACGCGCGGTTGTTTTGATTGCTATTTTTCCAATTTTTATATGATTGCTAAAATTGGATGATTTATTTAGTAGGTATTTACCTAATTTATTAATATCAGTAACAATTTTATTAATAATTGTTATAATATTGATTCATGATCATCAACTATCTACTTTAATGTAAATAAATAATTACTGCTTTTAATTATTTACCTTGTGAGGCTTACCAAATATGCAATTGCTATAAAAATATGTTTATTTATTTAAAAAAATGTTAGTAACTTGGATTGAGCAATGCAAACTCTTTGTTTATGGCAAAACCATTATGTTATAGGTTTTTGTAATAATTAATTGAAAATATATTAATATTATTTACTATTTATATTTACTTTGTTAGTATTTTATACAGAGAGTATAAGTCGATTTAATCCAACTTTACTGTATCCAAGTTGCTTTATTTTGACGCTAGAGGGTTTTAAGGGCCGGTTTTTCAATCGTTGGTTAAGTTTATCTTACGGTTAACTTTTTTTTAACCGTTTTTGGAGTAGGTATATCTTAAACATGGGAAAGTTTGGTTTAATCATATTTATTTAAACGTATTTTTGGATACCCTTCTTATTTGTATTTTTTTGCATTTACAATTTAAAATTATGATTGAACAAAAATTTTTAAAAATGATACCTAAATATTTAATACCCCATATAGGTTATATAACTATCTAATTAAGTATGTAGATAGGTACCTATACTGCCGTGCTTAATGAAAACGCCGTAACCAACAATTGTGCGATTTTTGTTTTTCGGCATTTTCTACTAGAACAATTCATCCTGCGTCTATCCCCGGTACTCAAAAAACCGTATATATATAGATAAGGTTTTTTGAGTACCGGGGATAGACGCAGGATGAGTTTTTCTAGTAGAAAATGCCGTAAAACAAAAATCGCACAATTGTTGGATACGGCGTTTTCATTAAGCACGGCAGTATAGGTACATATACATATGTAATATGTATGACAAAATTATTATATTATTATTATATTAAAGGATCTTAAGAGTCTTAGGTTAAGACCAAAGCAACCTGATTTTTTAAAGCGCAGTAAAAGGTGTTTTTATCATCTTCATTATTTTAATTATGCATTGCGATAAAACTGATTGCATTCACTTGTAAATTTCATTGTCTCGCCAAATATTCAATTTACGAAGCCTAGTTTTCAGGATATTGAACTCCATGTTAAAGCTGCAATGGGAAATATGTCGACAATAATAACTACACATTTAATTTGCAAACGCGATTAATACCTTGCCCTTGAACTGTTTGTTATTGATAAAATGTTATTTTATTCTATTGGTTGAAATTGATTCTGTAGAAGTGGTCTAGTTAATAATTTTAGCCCATCTGTTAAGAATAATATTTAAAAACTTTATATGGAATCTCGTAGGTATACCATGCATAGGGAAATTAAACTAATAGAATATTAAAAACGTATCGTTGACTTCCTTGGTTTTGATTTTCAATTATCGTAGCTGCAGACGGGTGCGTTTCTTTTGAAAACAGGTTGGTGGAGCTGCTGATCTTATGCCCACATTTGAGTTGACCTTGAGGATCCGGTACGATTTTTTCGTTTCACGGTCACGCAGACTTTACTACCGCTGCTGTAGAAACAGTCGTCTGTATGCTCTGATTTTATTTTCATTGTTTGTTTGTTTTGTTATCTGAACCCATGTGATTTGAACCCGCTACAGGGTGATTCACAAGGACCCGAGGAGGTCGTTGAATGGGTCACTTTAAGCTATGTTATACCTAGGACGAAAAAGCACTTACCTGACCTTGAAAAGTTCCCAAATGAGCTTGTGATTTTTGAAGTAGAAAGGAAAAGTAGAACTAACACGAAGTGATAGTAACTTTGTTTTTTCAAATGGAACCTTTTGAATACTATTGCATTTTTAAATTCTACTTAAAATTCTGGAGCAATTTCATTTTGAATCGTTTTTCTATCTTCAATTGTTTTTGAGATTTCATTTTTGTTGTTCACAACACCCAATTATTCTTCTTCGGTAGTAATATTCTAATAGTATTCTTCTTCGGTAATAATATACAGTATGTCCACGGATAGAGTGCCCAAGGACAAATGGACTAAAATTTTCATTTTTCGACCAAAAGTCATTCTTTATAAAAAGTTTTGCTTGTGTTGAAAAGTCTATTGTCATACTTTAAATTTGAAAATATTATACTGGTGGGTCGAAAAACAAGAAAACATGAAATACTATCAAGAAACTACCTTTATTTTTCGTTTTGGAGGAAAATGACAAATTAAAAAAGATTTTAAATCCTATCCAAAGACTATTTGTAAAATTTTAACTCAGTATTCCAAATTTTATTTTACTTTTAAAGTTCTAAAATTAAATTTTTATACTTGTGTACCTTAATTTCACGTATTCTTTACCTATGCATGACAAAAAACCAGGGTTGGAAAAAAACATGTTTTTTTTAAATAAAACATAAAAACATGTTTTTTTTGTTTTATACTGTTTTTTTTTTGTTTTAAACTGTTTAAAACACTTTATAAAAAAAACATGTTTTAAACGTTTAAAACATGTTTAAAACTAGTTTAAAATAATAATGCATAACACTTTAGAAAGATAGGCATTATTAGGGTGTGCCAAAAAAAGAGTTATTTTTTTTTTCATGCTCTCACCCCAAAATCTCTCAGAGAATGCTCAAATAAAGCTTCTGTTAAAATCAGACATCCATATTCAAATTTTAAGAGGTTCTCCATCGAACTTTAAGTTTTTCCGTCTAAATAACATGGAAAACATGGTTTTTTGACACTTTTTTGTCCTGCAAGGTGTGAAAATTTTTTTTTTTATGAAAATACATAAATGGACCTTTTTTATCATTAAATTTACTACAAAAAGTTCTATGAAGTCAAATTCTAATCTTCAATACTTGATTTTTGACAGAGCTTTAAACTTCAAATTATCGGTTTTCTGCATTTTTTAGCTATACCATAAGAGTTAGAGAAAAATGTTAAATAGCCGATTTCTAGAACGTTTAAAATCCTACAAAAAAGTCCCGATCAACTTTTTTGTATCACCAATAGCTACAAAGCTACAAATATTAGGTAATTTTTTTAAATTTTTCCTTCTACGAACTAATATATCAATAATTAAACTAAAACTTTGATACAAATTCACTATAATATCAAATTTGCAACAAAATTAATAATTTAATGTGTTTTATAGCATAAAATATTCAAAGTAACAAGCTTATTTTCGTCGTATTTTTATAATTTTCCAACTCTATTACAAAATATATCAATAAAAAATATGAAAGTTTATTAAGATATGAAAAGTGCATTGTTCT